GGGATTGGAGGGGCTCGGGAGGAAGGCGGGGGAGAGAGCAGAGGAGCCGACTGACTGCAGTGGTCCAGGCGGGAGGCAGGCGTCTCGCCAAAGGCAGAGAGCTCTCCTGCGTGCGGGCGTCCACTCCGCCGACACGAGAGAGCTGCCGGGACCCTGCCTCTCCCCTACCCCCCACTTCACTCAGCCCCAGCCCCTCAGCCCTTGGGGCCCTCTGTCCCAGTCCGTCTGTCTGCTTGCAAGCAGCTGGACTTTCCAGCACTGCCCTGGCCCAGCCTGCAGGAGGCACCCAGTGAAGGATGGCAAATGAACCAGGGGGTGCACGTCCTCTCACAAACATGGCCCCCACCGGTGCTCACACGCTCCCAGTCAGGGCACCCTAGGGCAGGGACATGAAGGGCCGGGGCAAGAGTGATAACAAGTCCTCCTCTTTCTCTGGTTGTGTGGGTGGAGATGACCACACACTAATAACAACCTTAGAGGGGGACCTCTCCTCAGGAATTGGGATGGGGGCAGGGGAAAGAGGGAATGAGTGGAAGGGGAACAGGGCCAAACCATTAAGAGAGGTCCTGAGGCTTGATAAGCCTGGGCCTGACACCATCCCCTGCATCCACAGGCGAGCAGGCGCCAGCCTCTTTCTGCTTCCTTGTCTCCCTCCCCCTACCCCCCAGCTTTGGGCCAAGGCAGAAGGAAGGAGCTGGAAGGATTCAAGTTCTACAAAGTGGAAAGTGGGCGTGTGTGGGGAGACCCAAGGCAGGCTGCATCCAGGCTTTGGAACGTTGGAGGTTTCCGGCCACAGAGGCAGGCCTTGGGGAGCCAAGAGGGGCGGGGAGAGACTCACACAGAGACCACAGAGACTAGACAGGGCGGGACGGGGGCGGGGAGGGGACTAGCGACCTGCACATAGGGCTGGACACATCACAGTCCCTAGAGACTCCTAGTGACAGTGGGGCGGACCTCTGTGGGCTTGGGTGCCACAGCCCAGTCCGATGCGGGCAGCCTGGCTCCTGGGGACCCTGGTGGTCCCCCAGCTCCTTGGCTATGGCTATGGGGCCCAGGGAGCTGAAGGGGAGTGGGCGGACGGCTGGGGAGATGCCCAGGAGGAGGAGCGGGAGAGGGAGGCCCTGATGCTAAAGGTGAGCTGTGGTGGGTGGGGAATGGTAGGCTTGGGATTGGGGGACGTGGGCTCAGAGGGTGGAGGGTGATGGGTTCAAGGAGCAAGTTCAAGTTTGGGGCTGGGGAGTGGTGGGTGGAGGATGAAGGGGATTTTTGGCCCAGTGGCCCTGGCCTCCCCTCTCTCTCCTCCAGCATTTACAGGAGGCCCTGGGCCTGACCACTGGGAGGGGTGATGAAAGTCTTGCTGGGACCTCTGAGAACAAAGAAATCTGGGGGGTTGAGGAGGAGGAGGGGTTGGAAGACGAAGAGGAGGAAGAAGCCACGCCAACCCCTTCCTCCAGCCCCAGCCCCTCTCCCACCCCTGAGGATAACATCTCCTACATTCGTGAGTACCCAGATGCCCCTTCCTGCCCCCTGGACTCCGTGGGCACTTTCTCAGAAATGAACCCACGGTCCACTGTCCCTTGGCCTTTCCAGTTTTGCTCACTGTCCAGCTCGCAGCCCTTAGCCACTGGCCCCTACTTTCCAGGATTCCTAGGTCCCCCCCAGTCTTGGCCCCAGGAGCCCCAGGTCTCTTCCTCACCCATGCTCCCTGTCTATAGCCTCGGACCACCCTCCCTCCGCCCCCATCCTACTTCTGCCTCTAACCCCAACCCCCACCAGCGAACGCCCTGTCGCTCCACAGTGGGCCGCCTGGCGGGCCTGGACGCGGGCCTGCACCAGCTGCACGTCCGTCTGCACACGTTGGACACCCGCGTGGCCGAGCTGACCCGGGGGCTGCGTCAGCTGCGGGAGGCGGCGGGCGACACCCGCGACGCCGTGCAAACCCTGCAAGAGGCGCAGAGCCGCTCCGAGCGCCTGCACGGCCGTTTGGAGGGTGAGTCCGCGCCGCGCTGGGCGGGGAGAAGGGGGCCACCAGGACTAAGTCCGCAGCTGGTGGGAGGAGAGGGCCTGAGGCTAGGGGGCGGGGACCCCGAATGTCACCCTCAAGGGGCCCCTAGAGATTTTGGGTGTGTTGGCAGATCTGGAGGGGAGGAGCAGCTGGCAGGGTGGATGCGGAGAGCGGGAGGGGCCCAGGAGGAGACACGCCCCTCCGTCGCCACGCCCATTGGGTCACGCCCACCGACGGTGATCCTTCCCTCCCGCTCCTGTCCGCCGTGCGGTTCTGACTCCATCTCCTCCCTGCCCTGACCCCGCCTCCTGGCCCGCCCTCGACGGTCTCCCTCCTCTCCAGACCACGTAGCCCCGCCCCTAGCAGCCCTGCCGTCCGGACTCCGCCTCCCCCCCCGACACGCCCCCAGAGGCTCTGATTCCCACTTTTTCCTCGCCCTCGAGCGGCTTGACCCCGCCTTCCGGAGCCTCTGACTCCGCCCCTAACTCTTCCGTCTCGCCCATAGGCTGCCTGAAGGGACTGCGCCTGGGCCACAAGTGCTTCCTGCTCTCGCGAGACTTCGAGGCGCAGGCGGCGGCGCAGGCGCGTTGTGTGGCGCGGGGCGGGAACCTGGCGCAGCCGGCCGACCGGCAGCAGATGGACGCGCTGAGCCGCTACTTGCGCGCGGCGCTCGCGCCCTACAACTGGCCGGTGTGGCTGGGTGTGCACGACCGACGCGCCGAGGGCCTCTACCTCTTCGAGAACGGCCAGCGTGTGTCTTTCTTCGCCTGGCACCGTGCGTCCCGGACCGAGCCCGGCACTACACCGCACCCGCTCAGCCCGGACCAGCCCAACGGCGGCGTGCTGGAGAACTGTGTAGCGCAGGCTTCGGACGACGGCTCCTGGTGGGACCACGACTGCGAGCGGCGCCTCTACTATGTCTGCGAGTTCCCTTTCTAGCCGCCGATCCTCCTTCTCCGGCTGGAGCTCCCGCAGGCCGGGACCCCTTCCTTGCCCTTGTGTGCCCTTGAAGCCCATAGTACCTGGCTGGGGCTGACGACAATAAAGGCTTATGGAATCTGACTTGAGTAGCCTGCGGAGAGGCCAGGAAGGGAACGCCTTTACTTAGCTTTGGAGTTTTCCACTTCAGATGATCTTCACAGCTATTTATCGGTGTTATATGAACGCCAAGCCCTGGCGGTGCAGTAATGAAAGTGGTTGGCGCCCACCCAGCGGCTCCAGCTCCGCGGAAGAAAGACCTGGCGATCAGCCTCTGTGACGATGCCCAGCTAAGAAAGCTGGTGGCGCCGTTCTGCTCTGCCTCACAGGGCTGCTGGGCGGCAGAATCTTCATGGCTTGCCACGTTAAATTTTGAGCCTTAGGCTCGGTGATGGAGAAGACATTTGCCTATATGTATACGTGGTCATTTG